TAGTCTAGCGGCTCCGAGGTTTGTTATTGATGCCAAATGGGCAGGAGGAGCACTGAGAATCACAAGAACTGGATTCAAACTCAGATTCTGTTACTTAACAGCAAAAAACCTCAACTAAGTTACCAAGTCCCTGAGCTTCATTTTCCTTTCTGTGAAGTGAGGATATTAATATCTGCACTGAGTACATATTGGGACTGTCTGAGGATCAGATGAAGTCATGTCTGTGAAAGCACTCCTTGAACTGTGAAATATTGTATGTGGCATTGTTAGAAGCAGACAAATAAGAATCTTATTTTGGCCATTAACCTTAACTTTCTCTTTACTTAACTTTTCAGTTCATCCATGGGAGAGTCACTAGATGGACTGATATGAATTTTCCTTTTTTGATTTCTCATCTCTTTCTCTGGTGGACATGCTAAGGGGGTAGGAACATAGTCATTGATGGGCTTCAGGAGAGCAAAGGATGGGAAAGAAAAGGACATAGATGATTTTCCATATGGATAACAAGACTTCAAGCCCTGAAAACCTAAGAATTAACTATTTCCCAACTGCTCTGAAATTTTTCCTATTCACTACGCAAACACACAGCATTGTCACATAGACACACATTTTGTTGTCACACATACACACGTATTCTAGTCTGGCAGGTATGATCTTGGGCAAGTTAACTTCTCTGTGCATTGGTTTTCTCATGTGGCCATTGGGAAAATAGTAGTACCCATCCTATAAAATTCTTGTGAGTGTTAAATGAAATAATAAATATAGAGTTCTTATCACAGTGTCTGGTATATGGTGTCAGAAGTTTTATATGTCAAAAGTTCTGCTTTATATATCCTAAATCTCCCCTCCTACCATTTGTACTCAATAAATTATTCTTTCTGGATCTTATTTGATCTTCACAACCCTGTGAATTGTCAGTTCATATTGTCCCCCATTTTACAGTTAGAAAAGTGAATGACTTGTTCAAGGTGACTCTGCCCCCTAGGGGTTTGTAATTGGATCGTTTTCCATGAAAGTCTCTGACAGGAGAACACCACCTAGTAGTGTGCAGGGTTAGGACCCAGATGATAAAGTGAACAATCTCATAGAGTTAAAATTATCTTTGAAAGATCTTTAAATCACTCATAAGATAGTATACATACTTCTGTGGATGACTTCATAGGATAATTCTTAAGGACACTAAGATTCGAGAATCATGTGGTAAATTCAGGAAGAAACTAAAAGCAAGTCTATATGCAGCTGTCTGAACATTCAGACTATTTTGCTTTTTAGAAAACCAAGGTGTTTCTATTGTCTACAAGAGTTCCTCCATACTGATTTTTAAAGACTATTAATCCTTTCTGCCTTAATATATGTCAATGGATTTGTCTATTATGGATAGATCAACTAGTAACAGGGAGTCTTAAGAGTTAGGTTCTAATATTGGAGGCCAGGCGCAGTGGCTCATGCCTGTAATCCTAGCACTGTGGGAAGCCGAGGCGGGTGGATCACTTGAAGTCAGCGATTTGAGACCAGCCTGGCCAACATGGTGAAACCCCGTCTCTACTAAAAATATAAAAATTTGCTGGGCATGGTGGTGTGTGCCTGTAATCCCGGCTACTTGGGAGGCTGAAGTAGGAGAATCGCTTGAACCTGGGAGGCAGAGATTGCTGTGAGGCAAGTACATGCCCTTGCGCTCCAGCCTGGGAGACAAGAGCGAAACTCTGTCTCAAAAAAAAAGAAAAAGAAAAAGAATTACGTTCTAAAATTGGTGCTTAAGTTAAATGTGTGCAGAATATAACTCCGACGTACACAATATTCTCTGGTTTTATGTTAGTAAGGCATAATTTCTTTAAAATCCAGGGATTGTCATGCTTGGCTAACTATTGATGTAACAGACAATTTTGGGGTGTCTTCTAATGTATGACATCCCTTTTCTGAGCATTGATTCATGTATGCATATGAGCCCTTGGAGCTATATTCGGTATTATATGATCCATTGCCCTCTACAGTTTAGAGATAGAGGATGCACATAAGAAACATATTTGACCAGTAAAATTCTCCATCCCAGTATTTGAGAACTGGACTCCGATAATATCTGTCATTCTCTCATGATCGCTTCAAGTAAGGAGAGAGAAATTTGAGAGCTAAGGCACTGTTACAGGTGCCTATTATAACCGCCTATAATATTATGTGAAAAGAAGCAGAATAGGCTGGTTTGCTGAAAAAGAATGGGCTAAAGCAGAATGAGCAGCGGTAAGCAGAGGAGAGAGAGAGAGACAAGAAATGAATGAGAGAGAAGAAGAAATAAGAGAACGAGGAGAGGAGAAGAAAAGAGGAGAGGAAAGAAGAGAAGAGAGGAGGAAAGGAGAAGAGAAGACAGGACAGGAGAGAAGAAAAACCTGTTGACTAAGTTACTGGTGGTGGTTAATTTGTGGCTTAAATTCCTTGTGAAGTTAAATGTACCATGTGGGTTTGGTTTCTGCGAATATCCATGTATCCTTTTAAGGTATGTGTGTGTTTCTCAAACTAAGTTAGGTTAATTCATTTTACTTTCATCCTTCATTTTATGTCCTGAGACATCACAAAAGCATCCAGCTCATAGCTATTTAGAGACAGAAATATTATAGTTATTTCAATGCTCAACTTTTGTATTTACTTAAACCTTGGTTTGTAGACTAGAAAAGGTCTTGAAAAGTCATCTTGCACATCTTACTTCTAATGAACACTGCATCTTGACCATTCCTGATAGATCTGTCCTATTTTTAGTAAAATCCCAGTAATGGAATTCTATATTGTTTTTCAGTCATTTGTTTTCAGTGTAAAACAATCCTCATAATGAGAATACATTACTTCCTATGGAACATAAATAATTCTGAATACAATGACTCACATTTCCCAAGCCAGACCAACCAAGGGGTAAAATCTGTTCACAGAAGAGTAATAAAATGGTATTTCTCCACATCTGTTCCCACAATATTAGGAATTCCAGTCTTACTCAAAACCCTACCAAATAGTTCTGGGAGTTCCCGGGAAATTTCTTTGTGTGTTCCATGGGTTAGTCCCTTCAGCTTTGAAGATAGCATTTGCCGTTTTCTTACTTTAAAGCTCTGGCTTCCCACAGCAATGGCTGGTGTCAAGGCTGAACACTGGTTGTCACTCAACCAGAGTTGTCTCCAAAAACTGAGGCTTCAGTCTAATGAATCCTCCTCATGCTTTAAATATCCCTCAAATATTTTAGTAAAATATCACTTTCAGCTTCTCCTTGCTCTTTTCTTTGTAGAACCTTCTTCCTAGAGTTCGAGATTAGACCCCAGGTTTGACTGAGAGTAGCCTGAGTGATGGAGATGGTGTTTTGAGTGATTGATAGACATGATATTTTCCTTTGAGCTACTCCTTACTATTGACATAGCTCAGTTGTCCTTGGGACTTTTATGCCTTGGTCCTATGTTCAGTGACTTCTTCCCCAGAAGTGTCCTGGTCTATATACAAGTAGACTCTTGACTGCCTAGTCTGCCTCAGACAAACCCTGGTGTATCTGGGTTTTGCAGTCTATATCACGGGCTCAGTCCTGGCTCAATTAAGACTATAACTTGAGTTCTAATTATACCTACACAGAAAAAAACAATCTCACCTATGGAGTAGAACCACCTTAAAATGAAAAAGGAAAACACATACCTATATCTACAGGCCCTGTCCTTTATCAGGCTCTGTCTGGTTTTATGAAGTTGTTACTGTTTTCCACATTTGACCTATAGTTCACCAAATCTGTGAAATCACAGATTGTGTTTTTGGTACATTCTTTATAGTAATGCCAAAGAGGTGAACTACTATAGGCGTAGACATTTGAGGAGGATTTCTAGTTGTCTCTGGCAAGCACCCAGTAAAGTGCCTGATAAGAGACCAACACATATTTATTGAGTTGAGCTGCACGTCCTGGCCTGAGTCACCCTCAGACCTGACTTCAGATGCTGTAAGTTATTTGAAGAGTCTTCTTAATAAGTTGATATCTGCAGTGTCTTTTCTCTTCATAAAATCACCCTAGTTCTATTTTTTTCTCTAAGGTCTTGCTTGTTACCTTTAATCATTTCCATGGCTGCCCTCTGAACCAATCCCATGTTCTCTGTGTCCTTTTCTGTAACAGCTGTGAGGCACAGATATTAACAGCTGCTGCTTTCTGACCCTCAGACTGGTGCTGAGCTTATGAGACTTTTAGGAACTTAACACTGACTCAACACTGGCTCTCAGTTTCATGGCCACCCTCATTGTTTGTGTGTGTGTGTGCCTTTCCATTCCCCTTGTGAAATATCTCCTGCCCCTAACTTACTATGGGAATGTTCCTCCATGATCTCTTTCCATCCTCCCTTTCCTGTTTGCTCACTTCTTTTCTTGCTCATCTTGAGACCGTGCAATCCCAGATTAACTACAAACAGAGAAGAGCTGGTGATAGCTCCAGAGCCCAGAGAAAGGAGGTCTCTTTACGAGAGGGCTGGCTCTCAAAGGTAAGCTCGCTCTTCTTAACCTGCCTTTTGCCATCTACCTCCCTCTTTGGATCTCCTGCTCCTGGGTCCCTGCTTGCCCTGCGTTCTCCATACTCACAGAGAATCAGGACCTTCAGAACAGCCCAGCGTGGGCTTGGTCAGGAATGATCCAGGCTCTGAAGGGTTAAGGCTGGAGCCTGGATGGATGGAGAGGGTTATTAGTTATCGTTTGGAGAGTGGAGTGAAGGCTCCTCCCCTGTTGCCTACCCGCCCCTTTCACATGATCTCTGACCATGGCTGTGGAAGCGGGCAGAAGATAAAGGGGGGGAAAAAAAAGTTCACAAAATAATTTAGAAAGTCCTTATAAATGCTTGTGTTTTCATTTAGCAGCATGAATCGAGGACAGCAACAGACCCTCAGAGGCAGCAGCCAACTGGGAATTGAGTGGAAAAAAATAGGAATCCTGGATTCTGGCACTTTCCAGTTTTTTTTGTTTTTTTTTTTTTGTTTTTTGTTTTTTGTTTTTGGTGGGGGAAGCAGTGGTGGGAAGCGATTAAATCAAATCTTTCAGGGGAGAACTCAGCTCTAGGCTTTCATGGTCAAAATACTAAAGGTCAGCTCCGCGTGTGTGTCCCAACTGTCCCAGAAGCTTCAACTCGAAGAAACCCCAAACTTTAAGTTGTGCTTATAGCTTCAGCTTAAGTAAGAAAAATGAGGTGTGGGGTAGGTGGCGGGGAGGATCACAGGATGGGGATCAAGTCTTAAATGGAGGGGAAGGAAGAGGAGATGGATATGGGTGGGAATAAGGCAGAAGGGAGCTGTGTCTTTAAGTCTGTCCTATGGTTATACGTGTTTTTTCTTCTATGAATGGGTTTTGCTGTAAATTATAGCTTTGCCCATAGTCCCTTGGGTCAAAAGAAATAGTCTCTAAACAGAAAACAGCTCTGATTGGTGACTTTCCTTCTTCCCTCCCCAGCCCCCTTCCTAATTGAAACCAAATGTGCAATATATTGGATGCTGGGATCCCTGGCGCTTTCCCAGGAATCCTCAGAATGTGAGGTTTCTCTCAAAGGCATCTTGCATCAGCCTGTGGATGTATGCCTACCACCAGGCTCCTTCACCAGCAAAGTGGAAAAAGAAGCGTTTCACAACAAATTCTTCTTTCTGGGTTGGGGAAACGCAGTGGATTATAGCTCTGTTTTCTTCTTTCCAAAACTGTGCACCCCTGGATGAAAGTAAGTTATGTGGGTCTTTTTTCTTTATTATTTTTTCTTGTTTGAAAATGAAAGCTCCGCATATACTTCTTTTGGTGTTTCAGGAAAAGTTTTAAAAAGGAAACAGAAGGGCGTTTTTCAGTCAGACAAGGAAGGGAACGGAGTGAGGCACCACAGACTTGAGAAATCAGATCCCATGTTTTTGGGGGTCTGGATTTATGCTATGAAGGGAAGAATAAAGATCACTAATAACCAAAGAAGGCCGAAGCAAAATAAATGAATCCATAACAGCTGCAGGATACAATAAACAGCATTAGCAGAGCTGAAATTGTTGGCAGGCAAGACAGGCCGATTGCAGAGTTAGTTTCAGGATGAAGAAGGCAGAGCAAGAGAGCTAAGTTTTTAGACATTTAGTAGTGGTGTTAGAAGGTCCTGAGTTTTGGAGATAATGTAGACCAAGCACTTTTTGTTTTTCAGAGGAGTTGCTGATTTACTTGTGAGAAGGGTAACTTTGGATGAGGGGTGGCTTCCCCCTGAGATTTGGGGTGGCTAGGGGGAGGTTGGGTGCATGGACGATTTTTCAGTTGTGACGATGAAATACAGCTTCCCAGACTCATCTCCTTGCTGGCTCTTGGTGTCTTTCCCTTTGTTATGGAATGACTTGGGGCTGTTTTCATTTGGGACCTCTGAGTCCTGGCCTAGGTTCAAGAGTCCGATCCAAAGGGAAAGAGAACTGTTCCCAGTGGCTGAAACTCTCAGACCAGCCATTTGAGGCAAGAGTTCGTACTGTTCAAGCCAGTAGGGGGTTCAGCACCATTTTGCCGATTGTTGGCTTCCTACAACCCAGAGTTAAGAGTCCTGAAAAGGGCCTTAGGCCTCTCATCTGACCCCCTCACTCCACAGATGTAAAAAATGATAGGAAGGGGACCGACCTGTTGGAGTCCCACAGTACATCTGTAGCGGAGCTGAAAATGAAATTGAGATTCTCTCCACTGCTAGTCCAGTGTTCTTTCCACCCCATACCTCTGCTTTCATTTACTTTTTAAGGCTTATTCTGCCTGAGACAATAGAGGCAGTATGATGAGCAAGTCACCACGAGGACATTAATTATCAGTAATAGAGAGGATGCCAATGGCGGCTCATCAGCTAATGATGTCTATGGTTATATTTGTGTGTGTGTGTGTAAAATAAAAAGAAGCTAACTTCTTAGTATTTTCTATGCACCAGACTCAAAATAATACATAATTCATGCTCAGAGCTTTTCATACATAATTTGATTGAGTTCTCACAGCTATGTAAGGCATTATTTCTATCTTACATGTAAGGACATTAATGCTTAGAGAAGTGAAATGAGTTGCTCAAGGAAATGTAGCTAATACATTTGAAACTCATATATATCCGACTCTAAAATCTGTGCTTGGAATCACTATTTAATGATACTCTCCTCATCTCCCTTGCATTTGGTTACTTTTGAGGTCAAATTCCATATTTCTCCGGGTGATCAGGAGGTGAAGGTGTCAAGCTACGGGAGCAGTATGGATTCTCTCTCGGAGGCCACTCCTGCACTTGGCTGAACATTTGTCAGGATATCAGATGTGAGTTGATTTCTGGGTCTTTGGTATATACTTACCTTCGTTATGCAAAGAGTCTGGGACTTAGAGTCAGAAGATTCAGGATAAGTTCTGGCTGTACCTGTTACTACTTAGCAAAGTTGCTTTGCCTTTCCGCACCTTGACTTCTGTATTTATTATATGGGAACAATGGCAGTACCTTTCAGTGTTATTGCTGTAAGAGGTATTGGATGTGCATGCATGCTGAAGGCTATCAAGGGCTTACCGGTATCAGCTCTTGTGATTAGGATCAGTAAACACCAGAACGTCTTGTGAGGCAGACCCTGTGGTGCTGGGTCTGGCAGTGGGTGCTGATGCTGGCGGGAGGGCAGATGGATTTGGATGTGTGTGAAACTCTGAAATGGGTGGCCTCAGCCTTAGTGCCCATCTCCTTTGAATGGAAGCAGGCCCTCCTCCCTCCCAGGGGAATACTCCTGAGGGCTCTGTCTTAACTTCTCTTCTGCTGGCCTGGTTTGCTGTGATTCCTCACCCAAAGCAGCGCAGGCTGAAGGACACTGTGCTTGGTGAAGCACCCCCTGTCTCTGAAAAGGAAGGGTTTACTCAGGACCAGTCCCCTGATTGCTCCTCAGACGAGACTCACATTTGAGGAGCTTCGTTTCTAGCTGAGGGCAGATCCTTGACCCAGGACCTTCTTGTCACTGGCAGGCACATCTCCCTTCATCTTTTCTCTGGCATTCGCTATTCTGTGCCTGCAGTCAGAAGGGAGGCCACTGCTCCTGGGGTGGGGGTGGAGAGCCAGCCTGCAGTAGGGAGGCCCCAGCCTCCGTTTCAGGGTAAGATCCATTTGCTTTAGAAACTTTAAATGTAAGGGAAGTGGGGAAGGTGTTTCCGGAATGCCTTTCACTTAGATTCCTCAACACTCTCCATGTCCAAGCACAGAACCTTATCACCTGCTTATTCTCCCCTAGCCACTCTGTGAACTCCCTCTTTTCTTCCCTTCCTGTATAATCGCTCCCCAGTCTTGAAGTCATATGAATTCTCGATCACACACAGTGAATTTACTTCAAACCTTTCCATGTATTTTCATTTTTAATAGACACATGAAAAAATTAGAGTGGCCACCCTCCATACATTCGTGTCACACTATTTTCAATTCGCATGATCACTCAGATATCCTTCCTAAGCTCCTTTAAAAGATCTGCTTTCAGGCACTTCACATCACCCTCACCTCAAACACACAATCCAAACACACATCTCGCAGGCATCCAGAAAGCAAACACACGTTTAAAACTGGACCTCCACAGACATGCTAACATTCTTGTGCCAGCTCACATAAATGGTGACCTGTCCGCAACACAGACACACTGGACTCTTTATACCTCTTGCCCGTTTGAAGCTGTGTAACATATGAATTGATCAACTCTGTCCCAACAATGACTACTCAGTCCAGAAATGTGTCCAGCATCCCCAGGCATCCCAGAGCTTCTCTGAATGCAGCAACCATCCATAGTGAGGACTGCTCACCAGGAAATTAGAAACCCCAGGTAGACTTTAAAAGATTTTCAGACCAATCAAATCAGAATATCTGAGGTTGGAGATTGGGAATCAGTACTGTGAACTGCTCCCCAGGTGATTCTGATGTGAAACAGAGTTAAGTACCTCTGCAGATAAATCTCTAACTGTGTTGTCTTTGGCAATTCAATTTTATTCCATTTGATTTAATTCTATTTGTCAAAGATTTATTAACACTGTGCTAATAACATAGTTTAGTAAAGGAGCTGAGATGTCCAGATACCTGTCAAGGATGTTTATTGGAACATCAATCACCTAGTGGCTAAAGTGATGGCGTCTGTAAACTTTTTCTCTCTTTTAATTATATTTGTATACATTTAAATATGTTATTATTAATCCTGCATTATTCACATATGATTTGGCTAAAAATAATTCTCTTCTTTTCTAATTGTTTTGCATAGAAATATTTGATGTTTCCTAATGCTATAAACCCCAGCATTTGGCAAATTATATACTTATTACTAGCTGGAATCTTACTTTGGCTTTGAAATGCTGAACAAGGTCAGTTTTGAGCCAGCCCAAGAGTTGCTAAGGCCTGGAAGGGCAATGCAAAGGTAGAGGAGTTCTAAACATGGGTTCGGACTTACTACAGAGCTCCTGAGTTTAGCTGGGCTTCTCTTGGAAACTGGATATTGTCTGTAATGGATCCACTCATTAACTCATCTGTGTGACTTGTATTTTGTGCCTAAAGGAACCCCCAAAAAATCTGTGAGGGGCCCTTTGGATCTATAGCTCCAAGGTTAGTGCTGGCTGGTGCTCTGTAGTATGAGTGAGAGGGAGAGGGCAAGTGATAAATAGAACTTCAGTTGCGTCATGTAGAGAAAAGAACAGGTAGTGCGGCTATGGTCCCACCCCCATCATTTTCTAGGGTTTCAATCTCAGAGGATTTTTTTTAACTTCACTGGTCTTCAATTTCCTCATGAATTTTATCCTCTTCATTTGAGTTTAGATAAGGTAATGTATAGGAAACTGGAAAGCACTGTACCTGTGAGGATAATAGGTGTGGATGCCCTTTGGGACATATTTCATAGGTAGCTAAACCCGCAAAGTTTGCTGTAATGCAAGATAATCCTTAGGGCCTTAATGGCTTAGGTAGCCAAAATAAATTGAGATGGGAGATGGATTAAAAATGAGGGCAAACAATCTAGCATTTTTGCATTTTTTCCTTTTAAAATTTGAATGCTCTTATGAATCCAAAAACATGAAACAATACAAATCTCAGTGAACTCTCATGTCTAAGATAGTTTTCACTGATTTTATTTTTCTCTTAAATAGTGGTGATTTAAAAAAAAATCACAGGTATATTTTATTTATTTATTTATTTATTTATTTATTTATTTATTTATTATTATTATACTTTAAGTTGTAGGGTACATGTGCATAACGTGCAGGTTTGTTACATATGTATACTTGCGCCATGTTGCTGTGCTGCACCCATCAACTCGTCATTTACATCAGGTAGAACTCCCAATGCAATCCCTCCCCCCTCCCCCCTCCCCATGATAGGCCCAGGTGTGTGATGTTCCCCTTCCTGAGTCCGAGTGATCTCATTGTTCAGTTCCCACCTATGAGTGAGAACATGCGGTGTTTGGTTTTCTGTTCTTGTGATAGTTTGCTAAGAATGATGGATTCCAGCTGCATCCAAGTCCCTACAAAGGACTCAAACTCATCCTTTTTTATGGCTGCATAGTATTCCATGGTGTATATGTGCCACATTTTCTTAATCCAATCTGTCACTGATGGACATTTGGGTTGATTCCAAGTCTTTGCTATTGTGAATAGTGCTGCAATAAACATACGTGTGCATGTGTCTTTATAGCAGCATAATTTATAATCCTTTGGGTATATACCCAGTAATGGGATGGCTGGGTAAAAGAAAATCACAGGTATATTTTTTATCTATTAAAAATGTCATAGCATCCTGGTAAACTCTGTCATAATTTTGTTTTTGCTGTATTGATTTATTTACTCCTCAGTAAATAGTTATTGCATGCCTATTCTCTGTTGGACACTGTTATATATTTTGTGATGAACAAACCCCACGAAGTTATGAGCATTTATAAGCATTCATTGCTTTAGGTTCTAGGGAGTATATTATGAATTTGACTGTACAAAACTTGATTTAGAAAATTGGTATCCAACCTGGATTAATAAAATTTAGCTTTTAAAGTTTGCTGAACTATAATTCAAAAACAATACAGAAATAGTTATTAGATGGTGATTGTCAGTGGAGCCAGGTGTTATGCCATAATAAATAGGATCCTAAATTTTATATTTTTTATAATTTTTAAAAGTTATAGAGCAACTTTAGCTTTATAGAAAAACTGAGAACAAAATGCAGAGTTCTCATGAATTCCTTCTACCCTTTGCACAATTTCCCTACTACTATCACCTTGTATTAGTATTATGTTTTATTTGCTATTAATTACTCAATATGTATTTATTAAACATAACAAAATAATAAATAAATTTATTATTTATGCCCTATTTGTTATTGTGAAAATAATAAGTCATATTGCTGCCTCTCAAGCTGTTTATAATGTTATGTAGCTATAGTTTGAGGTTTCTCATTTATTAGAAAAAAATTTTTCTGTGCACTTAGTGCATGCCTTATACAGTGCTAGGGCTTAACACAATATCTGGACATAGTAGACATTTAATAAAACATCTACTGAATATATAAACAAATGAAATGAAGGATCCAGAAGTAAAAGACATAATTCTTGTCCTTAAGAACTTAGGAAACAACAGACACATACAGCAGTGACTAGAGAAAATTTCAGAAACACATAAAATATGATTAAATCTCTGATAAAGGAGACACCTCCATCTCCTTTTCAAACAAAACCATCCTCGTTTTCCTTATTTTTGGGACTGTACTTTTTTTTTTTTTTTTTTTTGAGATGGAGTCTCGCTCTGTCACCCAGGCTGGAGTGCAATGGTGCGATCTTGGCTCACCGCAACCTCTGCCTCCTGGGTTCAAGTGATTCTCCTGCCTCAGCCTCCCGAGTAGCTGGGATTACAGGCACCCGCCACCATGCCCAGCAAATGTTTGTAATTTTAGTTGAGACGGGGTTTCACCATGTTGGCCAGGCTGGTCTTGAACTCCTGACCTCAGGTGATCCACCTGCCTCGGCCTCCCAAAGTGTTGGGATTACAGGCAGGAGCCACTGCGCTTGGCCTGGGACTGTACTTCTTATCACCATTGTCTTTGTTGCCATAGTCTTCATTATTATCATAATTATGGCTATCGTTCTATGTCTAAATCCAAGCATTAAAGAACAAACTCCCATATCCCCATGGTAAGGTTGGAGAGGTGGGTGCAAGTGCGTCTATGTGTGTTTTTGGCAATTTTAAAGTACAGTCACACCAATATATGCCACTTCCGTTTCTTGCTGGAAGTAAAATGAGTGACTACTTGGGCTTTGTAAAAGAAAATCGCACTTCGGAAG